CCTGAGGGATCCCAGATTGTGAGAGGGCGCAGGCCAGGCCGAGGGACCCCACCAGTGCACGATTGGGGCCGGGAGGGACCGCAGGAGGGCTCCAGGGCATGTCTGGCCCATCTTGCTCAGTCCTGATTGGCCAGACCCCAGTAGCAAACTAACCTACTGGTCATCTTAAAAATTTTGTGATTTAGATGCTTTTTTTGTTTTTTGCCATTCAGCCTGATTATTTTTAATCATTATTCAGGAGAAAAGAAGGCAAACTACTAAAGTTCACTGGAAACATTAAAGATGCTTAGTATAGAATACTGAATATGCTCTGTTTTTAATGGTAACAGTTTCTGATAAATTACTCAGGGTAAAACTAGTTTCTTTCTCTGTTATGTTTGCTTGGTGCAAAAATGGTTTTTAATATGTTTCTCGGAAACATTAAAGATGCTTAGTATAGAATACTGAATATACTCTGTTTTTAATGGTAACCATTTCTGATAAATTACTCAGGGTAAAACTTGTTTCTTTCTCTGTTATGTTTGCTCGGTGCAAAATGGTTTTTAATATGTTTCTTGTTATGCCAGGAATTTTGTTTTCTATCTGCTTGATAATCTCGGTTTTCTCAAAAAGATATACATAGATTAGTTAGTAAAGTCCAGAAGAATAGTTGTCCTGTTTCTGCCCTCAGCAGTGAAACAACATACCGTTCTGCTAGGGATCTAGTCCAAAAGGTTTTTTAGGGAGTAGGGAAAGTAAAAGGAAGACAGAAAAAGGAGAAAACCAGAGTTGAACCTAGAGTGTATGAAAATGCTTTTAGGGAATTAGAATTATAGATGTTCTGAAAACCCAATATGAGTATGGATGTCTAAGCTTTTCAACTACATGAAAGACTCAGTAGAAATCCAATGAAAGTTTAAACCTGCATGCTTTAGATACACTATTCTTTGTTGGATAGACCCTACAGGATAACCCTAAGGTAAACATTCTTTAAACATTTGTATATTACATCAGCTTTTAATAAGAATGTATAAAACTGGCATTTTGCTGTCAAGTTTTAGATAGAACTGAGTTGTTTATAAATTTCCACAAAATATATGTAAGGAACTCATACAACTTAACAAAAGGAAGACAAACAATCCAATCAAAAAATGGGCAAAGGACCTAAATAGACACTTTTCGAAAGAGGACATACAGAAAGCCAAGAGACATATGAAAACATGCTCAAAGTCACTAATCATCCGAGAGATCAAATCAAAATAACAATGAAGTACCATCTCATACCTGTCAGAATGGCTATCATCAACAAATCAACAAACGACAAGTGCTGGCGAGGATGCGAGGATGCGAGGGTGCGGAGAAAAAGGAACTCTCGTGCACTGCTGGTGGGAATGCAGGCTGGTGCAGCCACTGTGGAGAACAGTATGGCGTTTCCTCAAAAAAATTAAAAATGGAACTTCCATTTGACCCAGTAATCCTACTTCTAGGAATATATCCCAAGAAACTAGAAACACCAATCAGAAAGGATATATGTACCCCTATGTTCATAGCAGCACAATTTACAATAGTTGAGATTTGGAAACAGCCTAAGTGCCCATCAGCAGATGAGTGATTAAAAAACAGTGGTATGTCTACGTAGTAGAATATTATGCTGCTGTAAAAAAGAATATCTTAACCTTTGAGACAGCATGCAGGGACCTGGAGAGTATCATGCTAAGTGAAATAAGTCATTCAGAGAAAGACAAGTATTTGATCTCACTCATATGTGGAATCTAATGAACAAAATAAATTGATGAACAAAAAGCATGGGACAGAATGCAGAATCTCAGAGGGAAGGTGGGGGAGGGTGGGTGGGTGGGAAGTAATCAACCAAAGACTTTGTATGCATATAATGCATAACCCATGGACACAGACAGGGTGCTGAAGGCCTGCGGTGGGGTGGGTCCTGGAGGGGGTCAGTGGGGGAAAAATGGGACATATGTAATATGTTCAATAATAATTATTAAAACAAATAAAGATAGGCTTGACTGCAAAAAATATGCTTATGAATATGTTTCTGTTAGTATGAAAAAATGAAATATATAGCCAGGATTGTTAAATGGTTCAAAATTCCACTTTTTCTCTAAATACATTTTGGGAAGCTGCTGGTTGGTAAGGATCACATTGATGAGTAATTCTTAAAAACTGTGGTTTAAATGAAATCATACCATATATATATATTTTCAGGGACTTTAAGATTTAATTTTACTTATTCATTTATTTTTTAAAAATCATAAAGGGTAGTAATAGAATATGAATCCAATTACAGGAATTTAACTTGGCCTAATTCCCCAGATTTCTAAACTCTGGGTGGGTTTTTGTTGTTGTTTTTATAGAATTTAATTGGCTCTTTACTCTGTCTTGGAAAATTTTGTTAACAATGTATGGGAGTTTGTAGTTACTAAACATAAAAGGATATTAAGAGATATCCAGATGACATTATCATTTACATGGCACAAGATATGGGAGACCTGTTAGTGTTAGAAATTAGTTTCATATACTTTCACTGGAAAATTTATGTAAAAAGACTGGCTAACTACATCAACAAATGATAGTTAAGTGCCATTATTAAGTGAATGATAATAAGCCTTATTCTCAGATTATTGATATTTTGATTATTATATTTGCAGGCAGATTTTCAAGGCATAACATTCAGAAGTTTACTGTTTCTTTACAGATATTCATGTATTTTTGAGACTAACCTTAGCCTAGCTTTCCCCCCATTTTTAATTTCCAAATTTTTCATTTCAAGTTTGAGAAAAATTTGAGTTTTCTTTTCTTTCTTTTTCAAATATATTACTCTACATAATTCTGTGTCATTTCAAATAGTTATTTCATGGCATTTTGCTTTAAATGATCAGTCTTCCCAGTTATATCTTTAGAAAGTGAAATATGCTCTCTACTTTATAGTTACTTTGTATGCATATATCACTTTCCAGTTGCTTTATATTTAAATGTAATTGTACCAGAGTCTATATGCTAATCAGTTTTCTGAGCAGCAATTTTAGTGTTCTTAAAATTTTAATGTAAGTCTCTAAAATTAAACATTTAAAACTTTACTGTTTATGCAGTAAATTCCTGAAATCTAATTATGCCAGGTCCTGTTCTAAGCACGAAAGATAAAGAGTGGAAAAAACAGACAAGTTCTCTGACATCATGGCATTTGCATTCTGGCATGGGGACACACATGACAAGTAGAAAAGCAAATGGCATGTGAAAGGTTCCAGCAGCACCGCAGTGGAGTCCTGGTTTCTGCTGAAACTCCTAGGCAAGGAACTGACAGGCTGCACTGGTCTGCTTGCTCTTCTCCAGGTAACCAAGAGAGGGTGATGGGGCAGGCACAGATGGTCACACTGGATTATCCTCTTGGAAAGGAACCATTCTGCTGTTGTCCACACATATTGGAGCCCCAGAGGATCCCCAGCCGAGCATGTAACAATGGGAGTTTTGCAGTCATGAGAATGGCTGCTAGTGGAGAGAAACATCTTGTAGCGACACCAGCTTTACTGATTGCACCTGGAGACCTTTTGAGAAGTCAGAAGGAGCTATTTGTCCCAGCTAGCTCTTGCAGGCAACTTCGAGAGCTCCACCAGCGGTCAGGGATCATTCAGTGGACAAATCTATTTGCCTTTCCTCAGTCTGCCCCCAGGAGTCCAAACATAAGGCTTTCTATCAGTGACATGAATTAATGGGCTTATCTGTATTTTAAAAAATAGAAGAAATAGAGAGTTGTTCATTCATTGACCTCCTTCACCTACTTCCTAAAGTTGGACATGTTCATTTCTCGACACTCAGGATCTGTCAGTCTCAGGGATGAACCAAATTGTCTGTCCTTTTCCCAGAGTAATAAACTTCCTGAACACTTGGGAGTCACTCTTTTGCCATCATAAGAAACTTTTGGGGCAAAGGAGGATGGCTGTAGAATTGTCCAACACAAAGTTAGTGAATCCATTCCTACTCATCCAGGTTGTCTAAGAAACATCAGCAGTGGTCACAATGAGAGAACCTGACCATCATCATGTTGCTGCACTTTTGCCAGACCCATAGGCACAGCAGCCACAGTCTAACCAGAAAGGCCTCTTGGAAATCCCCAGGAAACCTATCTCCAGGGGAGACCTTTCTCCAGGGGGAATTGCTCATTCCCGTCTTCAAGATTAATGACTGCTGGGGTTTCTCTTGCTATTACTACCCCTTGTAGTACTACTCCTTCCCAACAAATCTCTTAGGTCCATTCTGGGTCTTTGCATCAACCCATCAGTTCTATTTTGTTTTCTTGTTTTCAAGCCTCATAATTTCTTTACTATTGTTTTATGCAATCAGTGTTCATGTAAATAGGTAACATAGCATAAGTGTAATAATAGGATTCTAATGGATATACTGGGTGAGTCTGGGAAGGCTTTAGAGAAGATAGAGCATTTAAGGTAAGGCTTGAAGGGCAGAGAAGCAGGGAAGAAATATATTCTTGACCATAGTGTCATGGAAGAATAAAACGTTTTCAGGTGTGTTCAGGAAATGGCAAGTTTTGTGTGGTTAGGGGTGTATAAGAATAGTATAAGAATACTTGGGAATGGAGTGTTGGAACAGGTGCCTCAATCTTATATCAGGCATTACCTGACCTATTTAAAGATGACCTACTCGTGTTCATAATTTAAAAGTCTCTTATAATAACTCCTATTCATTTTTATATTTAATGATAATAGTGAAATTTATATCTGTCATTTGTATGTCTTCAACTCATTTTCCCTATTACCTAATTTCATCTTAACAATATGTGAGTGACACAGATCTGAAAATGTTATAGTATTCTAATATTTAATGTTGAAGAAACTGAGGAATTGAGAGGTTACATGGTCTACGTTTAGAGTATCGCCAGATCTTCTGATTCTTAATTCCATATACTTGTTGGATGTTATTTTTGTAAATATATGCTTTTTCTCTCTTTTTTCTCCTTAAGTTATTGCCTTTCTTTTTTCCATAGGAATTGGCTTTTACCCTGGAAGAAAGACAACTATTGAATATTCATGGATTATTGCCACCTGGCTTCATCAATCAGGATATCCAAGTTCTTAGAATAATTAAAAATTGTGAGCGTCTGAACTCTGACTTTGACAGGTAACACATTTTATATTTCTTTTAGGCAGTTGTTTATTTTATTTTTTATTAGATGAGAAAGTTAAAATATTTAGTGATTTGGAAAAAGTAGTCAACTTTGAGGAGAATTTGCCTATAAATACAATGATGTTTTTAAAAATTTACCTTTTTAGGAACATTTAGGAATAAAATTTTCCTTTCCAAACTGTTATCCTCAGAGAGACTACTTTGCTCTTGTGATAAAATTGTTGCTATAAAGGTAAGTTATCAGGAAATGCCATCCTGAACAGAGCAAAACAGGTTAAAGTGGCTTTTAGTCAGACTATGAGTGCATACTGGATGCACTTTTTCAACTTCTAAACCTGGTTCTAATGCTAGTGCGAATTTAGGTCACTTACTGTGTTTAGAATTCAGTTTCCATGTTTGCACAGAGATAAAGGTAACGTGTGCCCTATCTCTGTAATGAGATAGCCCTAGGTTGAAATTCTGGCTGTGTTTCACTAGCATTGGGGCCTCGAGCAAACCATCACAACCACTGTCAGGACCACTCTGTATGCCTTGCCCTCTGCTTTGGACTCTTCCCTTATTTAGGCACTAAACCTCAGGTTTTTTATTTATGGATTGAAGAGAATAGTTATTTCATAATATTGTTGTGAAGTTTAGAAGAGGTAGCTAACTCAATACCAAGTAAGTATTTGTATTAGTCAGGGTTTTCTAGTGGTCTTCAGAGAAGCAGAAGCAACAGGATATATGTGTTGTGTTTGCATGCGCGCGCGCACACACACACACACACACACACACACACACATTACATCCTGTTGGATGGAGATATATATTTATTTCAAGGGATTGGCTCCCATGTTTGTGGAGCCTGGGTAAGTCCTAAGTCTGCAGGTAGACTGGCAGCTGGAGAACAAGAAAAGACTTGCAGTTCGAGTCTAAAGGCAGACTGCTTGCAGAATTCCTTTTTACTAAAGAGAATATTACTACTAATAATGGAGTAGCAGTCCAAATCCCCCTTAGTAGGCAGGATCACTCACCCTAGCCAGGACAGTAGCTTCCTTCTTTGCTTATTGATTCAGAGGCATGTGGTGTCCATAGTGGCTAGTGGCCATCTTAATTTCCAATCTAATGGAATAATTGTCTCCTGGTGGAAACATCCCTCCTTTTGAAACTAAGACTTATTGGCCAGCAGAGCATAAAGTCATGGGGACAAGAAGCAGAAATTTTGCTAGTGGGTCACTGGCGATAATAGTGACTGGTGCCACTTCCATTTTTACCCCTGGGTTCGTGGACCTGTGAATCCTGATTATGGGAGAAATAGCATCATACTGGACATGGATTCATAGCCTCCTAGAGAACTTTGCCTCAGCTTTGCAAGGTATTACCACCTAGCTGGTGCTGTAACTGAGCCCCAGAAGGCCATTCCACCATTCTGTCAAGTCAGCTGCTTCAGGATGGTGGGGAAACATGGTAAGACCAGTGAATTTCATGAATATGGGCCCATTGCCATGCTTCATTTGCTCTAAAGTGAGTCCCTTGATCAGAAGCAATGCCTGTGGAATACCATAATGGTGGATAAGGCATTCTGTAAGTCCACAGATGGTAGTTTTGGCTGAAGTGTTGTGTGTAGGGAAGGCAAATCTGTATCCAGAGTAAGTGTCAATTCCAGTAACAACAATGCTGCCTCTTCCATAATGGAAGCAGTCCAATGTAATCACCTGCCACCAGGTGGCTTGCTGATCACCCCGTGGAATGGCACCCAATCAGGCATGCAGTGTTGGCCTCTGGCAGATTGGGCACTCAGGAGAGTCTAAAGGCAGGTCAGCCTTGGTGACTGCAAGTCCATATTGCTGAGCCCGTGATAACCTCCATTCCTGCCATGGCCACTTTTTTTCATGAGCCCATGGGTGATGTCGGGCAGCCAGAGAAAGAGACTGACTCAGCTTGTCCAGTTGTGTATTTTTCCTGCTTCCTAAACCTCTCCACAATCTCTTGCACTTGTTACTTAAGTTCTTCCTTCAGCTTATGTTTTTACTTTATATTCTTTTTCTGGTTCGAGGATCAGTAGGGATACCTGTGCCAGGAATAGAATGAGTGAGGGGAAGAATGGTAGGTTGAGAAAGGAAGTTATCAAGGTAATAGAGGATAGATTATGTATTTGAAGGCCAAGAAAGGACTTCTGCTATTAATCTGAGTGAAAAGGGAAGCCTTTCAAGGTTTTGAACAGGAAATCAACATCATCTGAGCTACATTTCAAGAAGAGAATGGCTGCAATGTTGAGAATAGAATGTAGGCTGGAAGAATGTTTAGGAGACTATTACAATAATCCAAGCAAAAGATGATGGTGATTTAGACCCAGTGTGGTAGCAATGAAGGTGTTTAGATTTTGGATATATGTTGAAAGTAAAGCCTAATGTATTAGAGACCTTGCAGAGAAGAGAAAACAGCAAAAAGAAACAAAAAAGAAATTGCAAAGAAACAGGAAACTAGTGAGGTAGAAAGAAAATGAAGAGAATATGATGTCCTAGAAGTCAAGTAAAGAGCATTTATTGACTTATAGGGAGTGCCACTTGAGTCAAATGTTCTGATAAATAAAATGAGGTCTGAGGGTTGATCTTTGATTTAGCAATGAGGACTTACACATTTGCTAAATCAATTTTAGCATGTCTAAAAGTCATCATCTTCTTCCTAAATTTTAATTTTTGGGGTTAGCATAACCTATCTATTTGCCCAGCATTAGAATCCTATATGTCTGACACTAAATGCTGTGCATTTTAAACTACTTCAGGGAATGGAAATCAATCCAAAAAGGCTGGTAAGATTACTAAGTACAATCTTAAAATATTCTTTTAAATTATACCAAACAATTTGAGTTATATTTTACAAACCATTGAAGGCTCCAGGTAACATGATAAGTTTGATGCTTAGAAAGATAAGTCTGGGTCAAAAATGCCTCTAGAAAGAAAAAAACCTATTTGATACAAATAATAAGAAAGGTCCCTTGAACTTTCTTGCTACCTTAGTAATTTTTAAGGTTGGTGCTATATTCCTTACTCATTTTTCATTTGTTATTTCCCTTGGTTATTCAGCACTGAAGGTTAAAGGATGAAGACTCTGTGTTTACTTAAAGTTAATGCTATATGTATAATGGTATTTTCATCATTCTTTCATTTTAAAATAGGGATAAAGTCATTTTAAATATTAAGTAAAACTTCTGTTTTAGCAATTATTTTAATATTTGAATGACATTCGAGGAGGTTTATGGTTCTTCATTCTTTGAGGTATTTAAGAATATTTCTGAAGTGTTTTTTTTTTATCAGATGTTTCCTGTGTGACCTAAAAAGTTCTTCATACTTTGTTGAAAAATGTTTAATAAGATTTCCAAGCAGCTATTTCATGGCTTTGTTGGAATATAGACCTCATTTTGTCCATTTTCCACAGGTATCTTCTCTTAATGGATCTTCAAGATAGAAATGAAAAGCTCTTTTATCGAGTGCTTATGTCTGACATTGAGAAGTTCATGCCTATTGTTTATACTCCTACTGTGGGTCTGGCTTGCCAGCAATATAGTTTAGTTTTTCGGAAACCAGGGTATGTAAACTTTTATTTTAAATACAACTCGTGTCCTTATTTATTTATTTTTTGTAAAGGTTTTGCAATAAAATATTGAATGGAATTGAACTTTGGAAAATCTAAATCAAATTTTATTTAAAAGGACATTAAATATAAACATATATAACATTAAAAACATAGTATATTCTTTCTAGATTTAAGATAAGGGGAAAGTATTTCTAAACCAATTTAGGTTTCCTTTTACAGAGAGTAAATGAACTTGTTTTTTATTTGGAAAGAGAATAATTGCTCATAATTAAACTTGTCGTTAAGATGTTAATTATCACTATTATGTATATATTTTATAAGTTAAAGCAAGGATTCGAATTTTTTGTGAAAATGGTAGACTACTGTTTTCTAATATCAGAGTTGGTATTAAAGTAGTTTTTTTGTTGATTTCCCTTAAGTGAAATAATAGTTACCTTTAATGATCAATACAGTTTTTCTAAATCTATAGCTTCACTTTATTCAATATATTAATGAATTTAAAGATAAAAAGAAATGTTTATAAGTTTATACTAAAAATATAAAAACCTACTAAAAGCATTGTCATTGAAAATTAGATTGAATATGTGGATTTTACATAGATATATGAATGTAGTAGTATTTAGCATACCTATTCCATATTACCCTTTGTATAAATAAAAGAACTAGACCCTGACCAGTGTTGTTAAGTGGTTAGAGTGTGGGCCCCTCCTACCAAAGGTTTGTGGGTTCCATTCCCAATCAAGAGCAAGTACCTCAGTTGTGGGTTTGCTCCCCGCCCTGGTCAGGGTGTTCAGGGCATGTGCAGGAGGCAACCAGTTGATGTGTCTCTCTCACACAGATGTTTCTCTTTCTTTCTCTCCCTTTCCCTCCCTTTCTTCCACTCTCTCTAAAAATCAATGGAAAAAAATATCCTTCAGTGAGAATTAACAAAATAAAAATAATAATGATATACAGTACTCATATACCTCAAAAAATTATTCCTCACAATACATTTGCCAGCTAAATTCTAAATCTTGTCCTTTCTATGAAAGACATTTGTATTCACTGTTAAAATAGCCATTATATAATGCAATAGATATGTGCTATATGTATCATTTAACAGACTACCTATATTGATCTACTTCTTCTCTTTATACAAGGGGTGATGTGGCTAATTCTTTTTGTTGTTGTTATTCCTCACCTGAAGATAATTTTCCCATTGCTTTTCAGAGAGAGTGGAAGGGAGGGAGGAAGCATAGGAGAGGAAGAAAGAGGAAGAGAGAGAGAGAGAGAGAGAGAGAGAGAGATCACTGTGAGAGAGACACATCCATTGGTTGCCTCCCACACACACCTTGACTGGGGCCAGGGATAGAACCTGCAACCCAGGTACATGCCTTTGACTAGGAATCAAACCCAGGACCCTTTGATGTGTGGGCCGGCACTCTAACCACTTAAAAACACCAGCCAGGGCTGTATATTATTTTTTTTTAAATATATTTTTATTGATCTCAGAGAGGAAGGGAGAGGGAGATAAAAACATCAATGATGAGAGAATATCATTGATCAGCTGCCTCCTGCATGCCCCCTACTGAGGATCGAGCCCGTAACCTGAGCATGTACCCTTGACTGGAATCGAACCCAGGACCTTCCAGTCCATAGTCCAACGCTCTATCCACTGAGCCAAACCAGCTAGGGCTGTATATTATTTTTTAATCATACAAATAATACATATTAATGAAAAAAAGAGAAAATGCAAATATACAGATGGAAAAATATTTTTACATACCTAATGTCATGATGCCCCAAACCCTGATATACACAAATACATACTGTTTTTGCTTACAGAAGGGATCATACTATATATATAAACTGTTGCCTACTTTATTGTCTTCTCTGAGTGACGTCATAACATCTGTCCATGTCTATAAAATATAATTCTACATAAAGAATCTTAATCAAAGCATAATTGGATAAAACATGGCTATTTTAAAATACAATTTAAGTGTATTTATTGAAATTCTAACTTTTCTGAGAGATACTGAGAAATGCTAACAACTATAAGAAATGTGGAGGAGCTTAGGTTGAAATTGACATAGAAATCTCAATAGCAACAATTATTTTTGAGCACTTATATACTAGATGATTTTCTGAGGACTAGGGATACTTTGGTGTATGTATAAATCTAAGTACAAAAGATAGGAAAATAAGAAATAAGTATATTGTCTAGAATGTTTGCAGGTAGTTAAGTGTTTAGGAGAAAGAAAGAGTAGAGCAGGGACAGGGGGATCCAGAGTGTCAGTTGCTTTGGAGGGGGCAGTTGCAATTTTAAATAGAGTGATAGTGTGGGCCTCATTGGAAGGTGATATTGGAGGAGTGAGGGGGAGTCATTAAGATACAGAAGAAATGTGTGCCAGGCAGGAGGAATAGTCAGTGCCAGGTTCCTAACTGGGAACATGCGTGGAGACCAGGGCAGCGTAGAGACCAGTGAGGCTGGAGTGGAGTGAGAGAGGGAGTAGTAGATGTGATAACAGATGTTAAGATAAATGAGAGGGTCCAGAACCTATAGGTTCTTGTATGCTATTTTAAAGAACATTGGCTTTTACTGTTAGTTAAGTAGGTAGAAGAATCAGGTAGCCTGGTTAGTAGGCTGTTGCAGTAAACCAAGTGATTCAGATTAGGAGGGAAGCAATGGAATTAGGGGTGAGGGTTCAGATTCTGGATAAAGAAAAAGAAGGTCTCAAGGATTTCCTCTGGGATTGGAGGCTTCCTGGAGAAGTGCTTTTAACTACTCTGGAGTAGTTTGCCTATTTTCACTTCTGGTTTTGCTACTTGTTTTAGTTTTGAATAAATTATTTAATGTTTCCTCCTCTGTAGCATAGGGATAATACTACTGCCCGCCATCCTTTCACATTTTTCAAATCCAAAACTTTGAAAACCAAAACATTAAAAGAAATCTCATTTGGGATACAACCTGATCTATCTGAACCCATTTGTGTCAAAATGTAAACTGAATTTATAGTCTTTATATGGCTGTATGATTATTTATAGTCTATATAGTATAATTTGTTTTTCTTTAGAAGTATTAATATATTTAATTTCTGGGGGCTTTGTCCAAAATAAACAGGGTGGATGGATGGGAGGATGGATGGATGGATGGATGGATGGATGGATGGACAGACAGATAGAATGATAGGAGAGGGAGAGAGGAGGAGGTATGGCAGGAGGTAGGAGACAGCAAAATGCTCACAAATATTGAATCTAGGTGGAAGTATTCATTGTATTATTCTTTTAATTTTCCACAATATTATGGCAGTTTCTGTCATGTTGATTTTTAATGTTTATATTTTGTTAAACTTTTGATGATTTTGAAGTTGTTAGTAGAATAGTTCTCATGGCTTCTCCCATAATTATAAAAAGGAACTTGTTTGAAAACATATTATGTAGCATAAATTTAGATATTATATTTATTTATTTTTCTTTTTTTTTTAAATTTTGTTTTATTGCTTAAAGTATTACAAAGAGTATTACAATGCTTATGTGCATGCATACAAGTCCTTCGGTTGATCTCTTACCCCACCCCCAACCCTCCCCAGCCTGCCTTCCCGCTGTAGTTTGACAGTCTGTTTGATGCTGCTCTGCCTCTGTATCTATTTTTGTTCATCAGTTTATAATGGTCTTTATTATCCATAAATGAGTGAGATCATGTGATATTGTATTTAATTGGAAAGGAAATGGTGATTGTGTTTGAATAATGATGGATCTTTCAGGCATCAGTTAGCAAATACACTATTTGTTTAAAGCCAAAATTGACAAATGTCTATAAACCTTTCCTGTTGCAACAGCGGGTATTCTAAGACATTCAGAAAGTGAACAGGAGGATTATACCTGTTATTATATTTACTTTGTGAATTTGGTGGTAGCAATTAGGAACATGTTAAGTGAAAGTTAAGGGTTAATATTACAAGTACTGAGTGTAATAAAGTTTCATAGCTTAACTATATTTTACTTACTATGACTAGATATTTATTTTTCATTTTGAATATGGCATTAAAATTTGGCTAGGTATCAAAAAAATAAATTCTTATAAGAATGCGTTTACTTCCAGTATATTTTTTCTTAAGGTAAGATGCTGGAATATCCATTTATTGTTTTTTGTGTGGGATTTCTCTTTTTTTTTGGCATAATTTGTGTGGGTTTTTCAAGCTTTCATGGATAATCATGTTTAAGAATGGTGTTGAGTTTGCTTGGATTACCTCCTTTGCATATATCCATAACATTTGGATTTTTGCAGATCCAATATTTGGTAGTGGAATATGCTTGTCTAATTGTGGCTAATTTGTTGATAGAGGTGTAATTTTTGGAAGCTAGAAACCATTTTGTATTTTTGCAGAATGCTAAGCTTAATGTGTTAATTAAATTATTTGTATTCTGTCAATCTTCCTTTTTTTTAAAGAAATGTTTTTAAAGCAGATTTACATAATTTATTTGGAAATATTTCTACCTACTATATTTTAGACTGCATTTTCCAGGAATCATCTCCTTTTCTCATCTGTTCTTATTAGCTACATACCATTTTATCATGCCTTTGGCAATTAAGCATGTTTCTATTTTTCATATTTCTGATGTTCTATCAAACAGTTTGTAAGCATCTAGAGAGAAGGGATCATATTTTATAAATTATATTTGTACTTTTCATCCTATTTAGGCTTAGTACCTGGTTGGTGCTGAATTAATATATGTTTCTTGCTGCCTCATAGAAATAATAATTTAATATTACTGTATTCATCTGCTCACATAGAAAACGATAAAGTATTGGTAATGTTCTTTATTTCTTCTACTGTTTAACCCTATTGTTCTAAAAGGTAAGTTCTCATAAATAATAGATCTGAAAGAAATTGGACTCACTTCAAGGAATCAGGCTGTGAGGAAGTAGAATTTTGATTAAATATAGATAATACATCTTTAAACACACATTATACTCCTTTCACTTACTAATTTTTATACAGTAATTC